AGCAGATAGGCTTGAATGAGAGAGGCTTTGGTTTTGCCAGAGGGGTAGTACATCCTTGAAGAAAGCAAGGGGTATAGTTTTCCTGTTGTCCTGAGAACTGAGAAGGAATTCAGCTCTCGGCAGAGCAGGAAGTACTCAGCCACCGGCCTTCTGGGAAGTTCTCCAGAGGCAGTTTTTGTTTACCTGACAACACAGTGGGTGGCCCTAGGGTTGGTGTGGGCTGGGTGTACCCCCTCCTCCTCTCACAACCCTGGTATGTCCCGTGTGTTGCCCCCTCCTCCCACCTCTCACAGGCTGTCCCTGGTCTGGCACACAGATCTTCCAGCCTTTTCATCTTTTCCCTGGTCACATTCCCCAGCCTCACCGCCTGTGGTGGACAGACTGCCCCTCCCTAGTCTGGTGTTTCTTACTCTTCTCTCCTTGAGATCACCAACAGAGATCAGGGAGCCTGGTCTGAAGGAAAGCCCTGGCTGAGCCAGCAATGGCAGAGGGACATGCCACTCTGGCACCTGCTCAGCAGATGCTGCAGGAGGTCCTTGTCCCCAGCAGGCCCCAGTGTGCATGACTGACATCTCTGCAAGACAGAAAGTTGAACCAGCCCCACAGAATAGGGGAAAGCTGAGGCAGCCACCAGAGAGGAGCGGGGGTGCCTGTGTCTCACTTCCATTGCATGGCGCTCTTCCTCCGGGTATTATGCTTTCTCAGCTGAGCCTATGCAATGTTCAGCTAGCCTTGCAGTGTCCCTGGAAGTACACCCTTTGTCACTTTTTTTGTGTGGTGGGAACAATTAGACCACACTAGAGTGCCTTGGAAGTGCTGTGTTGTACTACACTCCTGAAATGGTAAGCATGCTGTCTAGAATTCTTTTGCCCACAGGGCTTTTAAGAAGGGAGTCCTCTGCTTAACAGGAGTCACATTGAGACCCACGCAAATGCAGCCAACTGGGGATGGTGGTGGTTGGGATACTTGGGCATGACCACAAAATGCATCCCTTCAGGACACATCTGAGGCAGCTGGAGAGACAAACTGCCAGGATCATTACCCCAAGGAAAATGATTCTGCACAGTACAATAAGCAAAAGTTGAGGTTCCAGCACCACAGAGAGGGAAGGAGCAGAGGTGGGAGAGAGACAATCACGGGCTGAGTTCTGCAGGATGGGACCACTTTGTAGCCTTCTACTAACCTTGTGTGATTTTGTGTAATGGAATTTTGTTGTGGATATGTGGTTGACAAGCAGTGTATTCACCTGGATTGCTATCCAGGAATCAAGAGGAACTGGGATCTGAGAGGCAGGAGACAATCTCATTGCATCTCTCTGCCCATCTGACGCTGATCTGAGCAATTAAAGGATATCACTGGGAGGCTTCTGAGATTTGCCAAATGTAAAATTCAGGATCTAAGGATTGCAGTTGAGACAAAAGAACCACAAAGCTATAGAAAGAGCTTCCCTGCCCAGCGATGGTGTCTTGCATCCAGGAGGAAGGAGCCTTTCTGGTGGCCCACGTGCTTCCAAGTGCTCGTCACAAGCTTGAGGATGGGCTTCTACATCCTCACAAGAGCCCTAAGAGCTGTGTACAGCTATAAGACACTTCTCGACATTTCCCGTTAGTGGAGATGGTCATCGTGGGAGGCCAAGTTCAGGCAGGCAGTGATTCTGGAAGGAGTGATCTTAACAATGCTCCATGTGCTCTTCACTGTGGCATTGCCTGACACAGACCTGTAGAAGTGTTTCTCTCTACACAGCCATGACAGGGCTTCTGCTTAATCCTCACTGTATCCCCAGGCTCCAAGAATGACCTTTCCCCGAGGAACTGTGGAACATGCTAAGGTAAAGTAAGTGTAGGCATGAAGCAAATGGACCTGTATGTGGGACAGGCTGTATTTTATCATGATGAATTTTAAGTCTAGGAATGTTTGTCTCAAATTCTACATGGAAAAAGGCAAGCTATTTCTACAGGAAAAATAATCCACTAGCAGTTATAAGTAAAGCATGTCATGCTTTAGCCCATGATGTCTATCCACATGGCCTGTAAGGTCTAAGACATGGTGAATGTTTAAATTAAAAAGTATTACATTGAAAGACACATGGCCATTAACCCCCTCTTGAAGTGCTCTCTCTTCCTTTGACCATCCCTGTTCCATTGTTATAGCCACTTTCTGAAGCAGTTCTGGATGCCCTTTCATGAGTCTCTAGCTACACTGCTAGGCTCTGCCAATCCTGAATGGACCCAGAACATCTGCTTTTCAAGGTCATTTTGACTTTGGGGAAGAGCCAGAAGTTGCTTGGTGCCGAGTCTGGAGAACCAGGTGGGTGAGGGCAGCTATAAGGTTTTGATGAGCCTGCCTTTCCACTGGATGACAGTGGGCAGCCCATTCAACTCCTTTTCCACTCACCTCATAAAGATACTCCTAATAGGAGACCTCCAGAACGGCTTCACCAAGGGGCAAGAGCCATGTGCGTTGGAAGCAAGGAGATTTCAAGGATTAGCATTAATGTGTTTTTTACTGGAATTTTTTTTATTTAAATATCCACCATGTATGTTAATAATCCTTGGATTTGGGATTTTAGAGTAGAAAGTTATCCAGAGAGAAGCCCCAAGTCACAGCAGCTTGTGTGAGTCTCTTATCCCTGAGACAGTTGTCATGGCTACCCCAGGGTCCATACTTCATTTCTGACACAGCTGGGGAGCTACGGTTGGTATGGCTGTCACTGTCCGAGAAGCATCATTTACCTTACCTTGATGGTGGTGAGGGAGGAGAAATCAGCAAAACTGGCCCCAGGACCCCAAAGCTGCAGCCAGTTAACAGATGTCCACTGCAGAAGCAGTCTCCAGTGTGTCAGTTCCCACTGAGCACCAGCCTGCTCTCCCCTCCTGACACTCAAGCCAAGGAGGAGGAGAGTGAGAAGCCAACGCACCTTGGAGAAGGCGGGAGCCAGCAGATTCCTGCTCAGTGGAGGATCTGACCTCTCTTGAGATCACTCTTGTGTAAGGAACCAAGAGCTTATCAAGCTGATAATTAAGGAGCAGCATCACACATCTTTGAGGAAAGTTAATTATCTATAAGTAGATAAATCTACTAACTTGTTGAAAATTGTGCTTAGGTGCAATCTAAAGGAAGTGGTCATACTGTATGTATATGTGTGCATGTGCGTGTGTGTGTGTGTGTGTTACTGAGACTTGAACCCAGTACCTGCACGTAAGCTCTGTCTTGATCCTTTTTTATTTTTTATTCTGGGTCTTGCTAAATCACTAAGTTGTCACAACTGAGCTTGAACTTGCCATCCTTCTGCCTCAGACTCTTGGAGTGTACCATCCCTCTTGTATTATGTAAAATAGGTAAAGAGACACCTGTAGCCTAGGGAACCTCAGGAAAATTTATTAGAGGTAAGTGTCTCGTACATACGTATATACATTTATATATATATATATATATATCTTTTATAAAATAAATGTATATAAGAGGTATGTTAATGGGATTTAAAACATGTATTATAAATATTAGTGTAGATATTGGCACTATACAGACAGAAAGTATGACTTTTCTCCTTGATTTGCCACCCCCTTAACATCCTTAAGCCCCAGCATATCTAACTAAAATCTGACTCAGTATGAGCATGGTGCAGATTTCTTTGATACAGCTTGCAAATCATCCTATAAGACCATGTCCGGATTTCTGCAAATTCCTCCAGAAATAAATACACACAGACATTATTAATATTCTCAGGAAACTAAGCAAAATCTGCACAAACTCAAATAATTAATATTTCCTGGGTGCACAGCTGCTGTAATCTCATCTTTGCTGGGATTATAACAAGAATCCAAGAATCCATCTCCAAGCCCATCAGCTGCAACTCTGTATTCTGTGCCTTGAGGCCTCCAGCCCTATGGTAGGAGCCTTCCCACCCGTGTTCCCACCCCTTCTGCCCCTGCATGTGGTTCCTGCATGTGGTCAATTGCACAAGACATAGCGTTCTCTGGCAGCCCCTGGCCTGGAGTGTGACATGGGAGCGGAGGATGTGTCTCTTGCAGGGAAGTCTCTTGGACCCCTATGGTTAGGCGTGGTGACAGGATGTCAGAGAGTAGGCCTATGGAGTGGGGGCTGGTCTCAAGGGGAATGTTTCATTAGAGCTGCATTGCGAGGCAGGACATGCCTGCTCCAGCATTCCAGCTGCCTACAGCCTTTTTCTAGAGGATTCTAGGACTGAGCTGGGTTAGTTCTTCCCTGGTCCTCATAAAGGGTCCCTGTGAGGTTTCTGACAAATAGTTAAGCCCCCACTAAAGAGTCCTAAAATAAACAAAGAGCACTGATAAAAAATAAATAAATAAATAAAACGCTAGCGAATACAGAATTACACAGAGGGATGCTTAGGAAATCGTCTTCCTTCGGGGTTTCGTTTGCAGACAGCCCCCAGCCCCAAGCCGCCCCTGCGACCGCCTTGCGCTTGCATTCACTGCGGCATGCGGATCGCACTCAGCCGCTCTTCCTTCTCGTGGGCCACTGGCTCAGTCTCCCCGGCTGGGCTCGGACTCGGCGTCCTCCTCCCTCCGCGTTTCAGAATACTGGGATCGCACCTGCCCCGCCAGGCCCGGTATATTTTTATCCTGCCTGCATATTTTTAACAAGAAAGCGTTTGAGAGCTGTTAGACACCTGCGGATCTGGACCGCCTCTAGGTCCGGCGAGGCTCCCGCGGAGGCAGATGCTCGCCAGCCCAGAACCGCGCGCAGGCATCGGGCGCGCAGCCCACTTCGAGCCGGAGGAGCGGGAACCGCTTTGGGACTCGGCCCGGGAGCAGCGGAGGCGCCCTAACGCCGAGCTCGGGACCGCACGCAGCGCTCCAGTGCCCACCGCGTCTCCGGGCACCCAACGCGCCCGGCTCTCACACACAGAGCTGCGAAGTATCGCGCGCACGCCAACTCTCCCTCCCGCACCGAGTCTTTCGCCGCGGGAACCCGCCTTCCCGCCAGGCCGTCACTTCCGGCGGGCGCCCTGCGTCATCTGTGTCGTCACTTCCGGCAGGTACCCGTGTAGTCGGCGCGGACCGTGGCTGGGCCGGTGGTCCGTTTCTCCCCTCCCCTACGTTCCTCCCTCCCTCCCTGCCCCTACCTCAGCGGCTGGGGCCGACTCCTTGGCCCCTCCCTAACCCCCTCTCTGACCTCAGTGCCACGCGATCGGCCTCCCTTCCTGTTTCCCGGCCCAGCCCCGGCGCAAGGGCGGGAGGGGGTGGGCTGTGGAGCCAGCGGAGAGAAAGGACGACGACGACCCTCCGCCCCGCAGCCCGGTCCGCGCCGCCGCCATGGCAATGAGGCAGACGCCGCTCACCTGCTCCGGCCACACGCGGCCCGTGGTCGACTTGGCCTTCAGCGGCATCACGCCCTACGGGTATTTCTTAATCAGTGCTTGCAAAGGTGAGCGGGGCGGCCGATCGGGGCCTCCGACGGCTGGTGGGGGCGGGGGCGCCCCGCGTCCGAGGGGCGGGGGCGCGGATCTCGGGCGAAGGCCAGCCCGGGGCGGCCGGGGCGGAGGGCGGTGGTCGGCGCGCAGCGGGAGCCGCGGGCGACCTTTCCGACGCCTCTAACGAGGACGAGTGCTCTGTGACCCTGGCCAGGGCCTGCCCGCGTTTGGAGTACTGTTTCTCGGGGAGCCGAATCGCACCTCTTCGTCGTTGTTACTGTCTTGCAAGGATTTAGGGAAAGGAAAAATTAGGTCGGGCAGACCGATGCCCTACAAAGGCATAGACGTTCGTTCTCATCCAGTGTTCCTTTCTAGTACGAGCCTTATTTTCAGGTGGAAAATAAGGACTCACGTTTAGATTGTTTTTGCCGCAGATCAGCATTCCCACCGCATCACAGATGCTTCCCAGAAAGAAGGACCGGATCGGCGCTTCGGTTTGTTTTGGGGTATTCTGTAGTGATCCCCCTGAGTGGGAACGGTTGTAACAACAAAAACGGTGTGCGGGTTTGCTGTTCTACATGATCATTTTGTATTTGAATGTTAAGTTTAAAATAATAAACTCCTAAATCGCTGTTGTCTTAAATATTTCTAGATGGAAAACCTATGTTACGCCAGGGAGATACAGGAGATTGGATTGGAACATTTTTGGGTCACAAAGGTGCTGTTTGGGGCGCAACACTGAATAAGGATGCCACCAAAGCAGCTACTGCAGCTGCAGATTTCACAGCGTAAGTGACACGGCTTTGTTCTCTGTCGATTGTACCCTGCAATAATCGAAGTGTTTAAACCTCAATTAGTCACAGAATTCTGTCTCAGTAATCACCACATGCTGTTTGATCTCACTGAAGTTCTGTCCTGGTTCAGCATGTTGCTTTGTTTTCAGCGAGTCTCAAAATTTTTAGAGGCTGCACACCCCTGTTAATCCCAGTTATTCTGGAGGCTGAGGCAGGAGAAGGCAAATTGAAGGCAATCTGGTCAATTTTAATCTGAATGTGTTTCAAAATAGAAAGGGTGGGGACATAGCTTAGTGGTTGAGTGCTTGACTGCCACTCCTGACACCCTTAGATTCAAAGCTCAGCACCCTCCCCCCGAAATTGAGAGGCTTAAGTGACTTAATCATTATGTCATTGATTGTAACCCGGGAGTCTGCATTATTACCAGCCACTCCCCACAACAGATGTTGGTGATTTACTATATGTATGCTGCTCTAATATGGTCTCTCTTGTTAGTGGTAGGTGTCAGTGACCCAACCCAATTTTTATTGACTTTATTTTATATCTCAATTGTTACTAAGTCACTTTACACACATGTAAAACTGCCCCAAACTTAACTGTCCTTTATTTCCTAAGGGTTTTTTTTGGGGGGGGGGCGGCGGGGGTGGGCTGGTAAACCAACTCAGGACCTCACACTTGCCAAGCTGACACTAAGCCACTGAACTAAATAAAGCCTTGGCCATTTCCTAAGTTTTAAAAGATTGAAATTTAAGTTATCTCGATGTTCGTTACATCTTTTTCATTTTTAATTCCACCTGTAAAATATCACCTGACTTAAAGAGTGCCTGTCGTGTATCTGCCATTCTGTTAGTACAGGATTATCTTTTTGTTTTTCAGGGTCTCACTGTGTTTTTTTAGGCTGCCCTTGAACAGTGTAGTCCAAACTGGCCTTAAACTCCCCGAGGTGCTTCTGCTCAGCCTCCTGAGTGTTGGAATTACAGGCGCATGTACCCTGCCTGGCCAGTACAGAGTCATTTTTAACTGGCCACCTTTAAGTTCTTCCGTACCGTGTATTGTTCAGATTTTTGCCAGTTGTCTTCCTAAACACAAATCTCATCATGTTATTTCTCCATGATCTTCTCGTCTTTCCAGTGCTCTTTAAATAATCCTGAACTGTGGGTGTACATTAGCATCATCTGGAAAGATTTTATAATATTCCAGTGCCTGTGTCTCAAACACTGTGATTTAGTTGGTTCTGAGATGGGAGTCCCCTGGCTGGTGTTTTTCTTTCCCAGTTGTTTTCTGAGTGATAACCAGCCCTAGAATGACTGACCTAACAGATTCTAGTTGTTTACTGGCCCCTATACTGGTTCATCAGAATCATCTGGCATTGGGGGCTGGAGAGATGGCTCAGTGGTCTAAAAGCACCTACTTGGAACAAGCTTGGCAAAGCACAGGGACCGCGGTTCAATCCTCCAGCAACACATGCCAGCCAGCCCCGCCCCCTGGTGGGCTGAGCTGGCCACACACACACACACTAAATAAATGTTTAAAAAAAAAAAAAAAGAATCATCTGGCATTGCATGCTGTAAACTTCAGTCTAGCAATACTAAACTTACTGATGTCATTAGTGTGTGGGCTCTGCCTTTGTAGATATTATGAAGCTGACTTGCGTTGACCCTTTTGCCCCTACTGCGTACATGTCAGATTCTGTATAATTTTACTGTCTCTCTAGTTCTTAACTGTGTTTGGAAACATTTCTTTGTTAATACTAGGGAAGAAAGTGTCAAGAATTACTGTGCATACATATACTTTGTTACACATAATAGCTTGGAAAGTAAAAGTGCTCTTTCTTTTTTGTGTGTGTGTGTGTGGAACCAGGGATTGAACTCAGGCCCTTGCACTTGCCAGGGAAGCGCTTATTCCACTGAGCCATCTCCCCAGCCCTCTTTCTTCTTGAGATACTGTCCTCACTATTATAGTTCAGGTTGGCCTTTTAATTCTGCAGAGATCTGCTTCTACACCTGGCTATTAATTTTGTTGTTGTTTGAACCAAATTGAACCCACCAAGTTTAGTGTGAAGAAGTGAAAGCTAACTCTGGTAGACATAAGTCTATACACTTGTTGAAACTCAGATATATAGATATAGATATATATCCCAAATCACATATGTTATATTGCATACAATATTATTGTATGCAAATTCAAAAATAAAGTTAAAAGTTTTTCAGCAGAGCTAGTAGTAATGCTAATCTAGAATTAAATTGGAGATCGTGAAAGAAGATCAGTAAGAAAAGTTACAAATGCCAGTCTAAATCCTTGAACAGTTTTTGAATGCCTTCTAAGAATAAATTGGGAGGGCTGGGGAGATGACTCGTGGAATAAGCGCTTCCCTGGCAAGCACAAGGTCCTGAGTTCAATCCCCGGTTCCAAAAAAAAAAAAAGAATGAATTGGGCTTTAAATTCTTCACAATTACGATACTGCATAATTCTGATAAAATGAACTACTTGACTTTAAGTCCGTCTAGTGGATATTTTCAGCCCACAAGTTGCTGTAAATGTCAGTCTGAATGCTGATAACAATATATTCCTTTGAATGCTAATTATGAAAGACAAGTAGGAAGGAAAAGTGACTCTCAGACCTGGCTGAATTATTATGGAATGCTGGAATGTTAAGACGAAGGTGTTCTTTCCTCTGCAGATATATATACAATATTGTTGAAACTGTAGGCACATTTGTGATACTAATTTTTTAGTTATTATTCCAAGATTAGTGACTATTTTGTGTCCCTACTGTGGTGCCTTGTTTGTATTTCCCAGACATTTTTTCTAGCTGGGTGTAGTGGTTCACATCTGTAATCTCACCTCTTGAGAGAATGATGCAGGAGGATCACTATGAGTTTGAGATCAAGGCCATCTTGGGCTAAAGTCTTAGAAAGGAGAAGGAGAAAAAAGAAAGAACCAGAGAAAGGAAAGCAAACACAAGGACAAAGGATGGATGAATAATAGACCCTGATTTTACTTTTGGAATATTTGAGTTGATTGCTATAAATTTAGCTTTATATTCTTTACTTTGCCCCTTCAGAGTTATTTCAGTAAGAACATCATTGATGATCTTACTAATTTTTTTAAATCTTACTAATTTTATAGGGAATGCAGAACACTGAATTAACATTAAACAATAGATTTCAAATATTTTGTAAACAGATTTTAAAATTTCATTATGGTGATTAAGTCTCAGTCTGATGGTGATAAACTAACAGATATTTTAAGTTAAGTGTAATTAAGTTATAAACGTAGATGTTAGCTTAGAACGCAACAAGCTTTTGGATTGCAGTTCTGCATTATTAATTTCAATTGTACTGTTACCAAGCTTTGACAATGTTAATTATATAAGCAGAATTTTTTGTACCATCTTTTGCCAGTGAAGCAGTTATCTTTGTTAAAGTCCCTCAGAAGAGCATTGTTTTGTTTTTCTTTATTATTTTATTTTATTTTATTTTGAAGAGTAAAACCAAAAGTCAAAACAACAGAAACATGCAACAATACATAAGTTACAGATTTTCAAAACAAGAATAGCAAATTAACAATGGTTGTTATGGGGAGATAGCTTAGTGGCTTCAGTGCCTCCCTGGCAAGCACAAGGTCATGAGTTTTAATCCTTGGTAGTACAAAAAAATAAATAAAAATAAATACACTGCATAGTGAAATGCTGTCTTTTTAAAAAACAATGATTGCGAGGACTAACTAATCAAGAGAGGGAAAAGAGAAGAGCTAGGAAACATGACAGTGACAAGCCATACAGTTATATGTAGAAGATGGGCAAGGCAATGATCTTGAGAATCTCCAGAAGATTTTTAAATCTAGCAGTTAATTGGAAAGATTCTCACCCTGACTAACCATATATACTGATACCTGTGAACTAAGCAACTGCACTGAAGATGGAAATCCGTACTAGTAGTTTCATGCTTAGAATGCCTGTCACTCTGGTCTTATGAATACGGGCTGCTTGTCATGACATGCCATTTGCTGCTATGCTGTCTCTTGGGTAGATGATTGTTCAAAAAGAAGGGGGTGGTGAATGAAAGCAAGAAACAGGAAAAGGAATAATGTGGGACTGTCCTGCTTCAAGGTTGTATATGGTTAGATTTTTGGACTTAATATGTAAACATAAGTATGTAATTCTTTATGCCTATTTTTAAAAATATATTCTAACTTTTAAATGTTTTTTCTTCATATTCTGTAGGGACTTAAAGTTCAACATATTAATACTTGACGAAAAATACCTGTTCCATATTATGCCTAAGATGTTTGATATTCAGACAGATAGTGAGGTTAAGTTTAACAGCCTAGTTTGTATGGTAATAATAATAAGCTTGTGTTCTGGAGGGTTAACAACCTAAGTTTGCAGACCAAAATTAGAGAGAAAGGAGGGCCGCAAGAAAAGCCAACATTTTGGCCCTAGCCTTCCAAGGTCAATTAAGACTCAGGACATATGAGAACTTGTACTGTAACGTCATGTAACTCAGTAGTATCCCAAATTTTCTGATCAAGAAGATTATGGGGCCACAGAGGAAAGTGATCGATGATGTAGAGTGTGCCTGAGGAGAGTCACATGGAGAGAAAACATTCTCTCAGGCTTTCACAGAGAGAACATTGGCCAAGCAATGGCTGTGACTCATCCACATGGCTGACACTGACAAAGGTTCTACAATCTGAGGTACAGGATCTCAGGATAAATCCTGAGGGGATTTCACTGAACTTATCAGACCCAAAAGCTACAACTCTTGTTGCATAGGTCCTGCTTTACCTTGGTCTTAACCATCCAGCAGAAAAGTATAAAAACGAAATATAAGAAGTAAAGCCATGCTGTTATGTTGAGCTGTTGGGGACTCAGGTCAACACTTTCTGACATTGCCAGTCAAGTGGAAGACCCAATACTATTATGGACTACTGGACTCTTTTAGAATATTTTGCTGAGTTTATACTCCTATAGTATTCAGATAACAGAACTT